ATTTTTATAAAATGTTAATTTTTTAATTATAATTCATATATAAAAAGTAAAAAAATTAAATTTATTAAAAATAAATAGAAGAAATAGTTAATATTTTGTAATTTAATTTGTCTAAATTGCAAAAACACTTTTGTGTGAAACAAGTATTTATATTACTTTTTTTTCTTTTGATTTGTAAGATTTTCTTTTATTTTATTCAGTAAAATATTTTAAAATTATTTTTTTAAAAGTTACATTTGAAATTTTTTTTATAATTTTGTGACTTTGTCTTATTTATATTATGTTATTGTAAAAATTAAAATTTTATTTAATTTAATAATTATTATAAAATGGAGTTAAAATATTCCTAAAAGAGTATGACGTTTAATAAATCAAAATGCAGCAAATTGTAAAATTGAAACAAATTAAAGGGTAGACAGCCTTACATTCAAGGACTTATTTTTTATCTAATAATTTTATATTATGCAGTTTGAATAATATAATATATTTTTGTTTTATATAATTATTAAATATATAAATTTTAATTAAAAATAAATAAAATATAAGTTAAATGCAAAATTTGGTCCCTCAACTTTATAGAGTTGCACTTTTTTGGTCCCTTAACAATTTTTTACACTTTTTTGATTCCTCAACTCTAAAAAATGTACAACATTAGTCCTTTCATCAATTGGGACCGTTAACTCTGTTCATGTGGCATTTTATATATATATATTTTTTTTATGACATGGAGCACAACTTAAAAAAGTGTAGACATGAATAAAACATTTTGCCATCTTATGTCCCCATGACTCAAAGGCGCCAAATTCACTCAAATCGGCTCCACATTGCCTGCAAAGCACCAATAAATAGATGCCTATGAACCCCAAATTGCTCTTTCATCTCCACTCCTACAAAATCGATCATAACCCATTTCTTCTTCTCTAAATGCTCTCTTATCTTCACTTCATCTGCAAAATCGATCTTAACCCATTTCTTCTTCTCTGAATGCTCTTTCATCTCCACTCCATCTGCAAACTCGATTTTAACCCATTTCTTCTTCTTCTCTTTTCTCAAGCGAACTTAAGAAATTGACCAAATGCAGGGAATTCGTGATGAGATTTGCTCGAGTTGGGTTGCCTCTACTGCTAGTGGGAGTGAATCCTTACAAAATAATATGTCTATGAACCCTAAAATGCTCCAAAGGAGAATTTGAGTTCTCTGTCATCGAACCCAGCTGCTGAGTTTCATTATTGAAGCCACTGGGTTCATCAAACCCATCAGATCTCATCAAATCAAATTAACCATTCAATAAACAATATTAATCAAACTCTAATCAAATTCCAACAAAAATGCAATCAAATTGTAAATCAACTTCCAAATTCAATAACTGGGAATGTAAATCGAAAGAAGAATGAAAAAACATGAACCCAACGTCGAAACTCAGCCTACGACAAACCCAGCAAGGCTAGGTTTCGATGAACCCAACAAGGCTAGGTTCGCGCGACCAGCAAGGCTGGGTTTGCGCGACTAGCAAGTTTGGGTGCCAATGGAACCCAATCGATCTGGGTTCCATCGAACCTAGCAGCTGGGTTCGTTGCTAAGTTCGATGGAACCCAATAGATCTGGGTTCAGTATTTCCATCGACCCAAGGTAGGAAAGAAAGAAAGAGAAAGAAAAAAAGAAAGAAAGAAAGAAGGGGAAAAGAGGGATTGGGAGGGTGAGGGTAATAATGTAATTTTATTTGGTTTTTATTAAAATATAAATATTTATCTATATGGCATTTTTATTTAT